TCAGATCTGTACAGCCCTGTTCAGTCCACTTCCGTACAGTTTAGTCCAGTTCAGCCATCACCTACATGACCGCCAGTTAGCACCATCCGTTAAAAAGATAAAACTCAAACCACAACTCACAACCCAAGCAGTCAGAGCCCCCGTAATCCAGGAGTCAGATATCTGGAACTTCTATTACGGGGATAGGGATGATCTGTTCCCCTTCTTGTCACCTTATCATGAACCTATTAGCCCTACTCCTGAACCCGTTAGCAATTCAGCTAAACCTGCACCTGAACCCACTTACACATCAGTTAGCCTTTTGCCACAGTCAGCCCGTGAACCCGTTAGCCCAGCCTCTAATGAACCCCGACGTAAGAGACGGCGGCGCCGTAAGCCAGTTCTGAGCCGTCAAAAGACCCCTGAGCCAGCCGTGAGCCGTTTTGAGTCAGTTCTGTGCCATTTTGAAACCCCAGAGTCAACTCCGAGCCGTTTTGAAACTCCGGAGTCAACTCCGTGTCTTTTAGAGATCCCTGAAGCTGCTCCAAGCAGCCAAGAGACTCCCGAGCCGATTCTTAGCCGTCTAAGGACCCCTGAGCTAGCTCTGTGCCGTCTGGAGACCCCTGAGCCTGCCCTGTGCCGTCCAGAGACCCCTGAGCTAAAAATTAAGAGGGCTTCAGAATTTGGAGGTGATGGAAATATGCCTCCAAGAGCCTCTCTACTAAGGCCACAAATCGCCAAGAACCCTCCACCCACGCCTCAAGCCTCCTCAGAGCCTGAACTTGAGCCTCCTTGGGTGGTCCCTCCATTTCCAGAGGTGGACCCACAGTCGGTGGTATCGCCTGCACCAGAGACTGAACCACATTCGGAGGTTCCGCATGTTCCTGTGGCGGAGCTGCTATCGGCGGGCTCCCCTGTCCTTGATTGGGAGCCGCAATCGGCGGGCTCCCCTGTTCCTAATCAGGAGCCGCAATCGGCGGGCTCCCCTGTTCCAGACCGGGAGCCGCAATCGGCGGGCTCCCCTGTTCCAGACCGGGAGCCGCAATCGGCGGGCTCCCCTGTTCCAGACCGGGAGCCGCAATCGGCGGGCTCCCCTGTTCCTGATCGGGAGCCGCAATCGGCGGGCTCCCCTGTTCCAGACCGGGAGCCGCAATTGGCGGGCTCCCCTGTTCCAGACCGGGAGCCGCAATCGGCGGGCTCCCCTGTTTCTGATCGGGAGTCGCAATCGGCGGGCTCCCCTGTTTCTGATCGGGAGTCGCAATCGGCGGGCTCCCCTGTTTCTGATCGGGAGTCTCAATCGGCGGGCTCCCCTGTTTCTGATCGGGAGTCTCAATCGGCGGGCTCCCCTGTTTCTGATCGGGAGTCTCAATCGGCGGGCTCCCCTGTTTCTGATCGGGAGTCTCAATCGGCGGGCTCCCCTGTTTCTGATCGGGAGTCTCAATCGGCGGGCTCCCCTGTTTCTGATCGGGAGTCGCAATCGGCGGGTTCCCCTGTTCCTGATCGGGAGCTGCAATCGGCGGGCTCCCCTGCTCCTGAACCGCAGTCGGCGGCCTCTTCAGAGCCTCCTCCAGAGCCGCAGTCGGCGGCCTCTTCAGAGCTTCCTCCAGAGCCGCACTCGATGGTCTCCCCAGAGCCTCCTTCAGAGCCGCACTCGACGGTCTCCCTAGAGCCTCCACCAGAGCCGCAGTCGGCGTTCTCTTCAGAGCCTCCTCCTGAGCCGCAGTCGGCGGCTGTTTCTGAGACTGTTCCTGAGCTGCAGAGGAGGGGACGGGGTACCCCGTGGGGGTACCTGCTGAAGCTTGGGCGTCATCCTCCTGATAAGCTGCTTCGCCTCCGGCCCCGCTGCAGACCCCCGGAGCATCATCTTCGCTGCCGGCCTCCTGAACCTCAACCTTGTCTCCGGCTCGGCGGTGGTCCCCCTAAGATGCTGCTCCGCCTTCATCACAACGGTCGACCTCCTGAGCAGCAACTACGCCTCCGCCGTCGGCCCCACGGCAGGTCACCTGAGACTGTGTCCTGCAGCCGGTCCCACGGCAGGCCACCAGAGACTGTGTCCTGCTGCCGGTACTTTGGCCGGCTACCTGGGACTGTGTCTTGCTGCCGGCCCCACGGCAGCCCACCTGGGACTGTCTCCTGCTGCCGGTCCGTCGGCCAGTCACCTGAGAATCTGTCCCGCTGCCGGTCCCTCGGCTGGCCACCAGAGACTGTGCCCAAGAAAGTTTTTGGGTTTTCTTTTGCTGTCGTCCACCATAAGTGGATCGTTTTTTGTTCTGGACTCTGTTTTTGTTTTCTGCCCTCCTGGCCTGTTTCCCCCTTCGCCCACCCTGGGTGGGTTGTTTTTTGTTTGTTGGACCTTTTTTTTCTGTTGGTTCTGGCTCTCCTCGCCCTAGTGCCCCCTCCGCCCGCTCTGAGTGGGTTGTTTTTTGTTTTCTGGACTCTATTTTCTGTTGTCTCTGGCCCTCCTCACCCTAGTGCCCCCTCCGCCCACCCTGAGTGGGTTGTTTTTTGGACTTTTTTTTCAGGGGGTGTCTGGAATCCGCCCTTGAGGGGGGGGCTCTGTTGGGATCCTCAGGCTTGCCCACCAGAGGGCGCCGAGGATCCTCTTCTGCTCTCTTTGTTTTTCCCTTAGGTTTGAAGTTACTGTGGGGATCTGGAGATTACCCTCTGTCTCCAGCAGGATGCGCTGTGGGTCTTCTGGAGCTGGAACTTTCCTGCACACCTGTTCCTAATCCTCTCATTAGAAGACCTCTCCTTTATAAGCTCCTGCCTGACCTTGATCCCACGCCGCAGTGTTGATCTTAGTTGGTTAGCTTCCTGAGCCTCTGTTACAGAAGAATCTTTGTTATTTCTCATGCAAGATCAGATTCTAATTCTTCCTTGTCTCTGCCTCACAGGAATCCTGTCTCTTCGTGAAAGCTCTGGATGAGCTTAACCTCCTGTCTCCTCGTGAAGCTTTGGAAGAACTGTCTCTCTGGCAACCTGTCTCTGGCCTGCAGCTCTGGGAGAGTTGCATCACAGGGAACCAGTTTCAAGCCTAAAGCTCTAGGAGAGCTAGCCAGCTAATCAGCCCTGGTGAGCCACCCGAAGACCCCTACGTCGTTTAACCTGAAGACTTCTTCGTGGAGTTCCCTAGAGGTTCCCATGTGGATTATCTCCTGATTTTCTCAGTCATCCAGCCATCCCCCGCTCCTTGCACAGACTCCAGTGAACCAGCCCCAGACACATTCTAGTCCCAGTGTTTTTCTGTGTGTATTTGGACTTTATTAAACATTTTGAACTTTTCCCCTGCCTCCTCCGTGTGTGTTCTGCATCTTGGGCTTAACACTAAGAGAACCCATCATGACAGAAACATGGTGTCTGGAAAAGGCTCCCTTCAAACCTAAGAACTGGAGGAGTTTGCTGATGAGGAGTGGACCCAAAAAGGAGCCTAAGAGGAGCAGAAGTCTCATTGACAGTTACAGGAACAGTTTGATTGCAGTGACTGACTGAAAAGACCCGAGCTCGTAACATCATAAATGACCCCTCACACCCCCACCATGGACTGTTCTCCCTGCTGCTCTCGGGAAAGAGACTTCGTAGCATCCAATGCAGGTCCAGCAGATTCCAATGTCGAATTTATTTATATAGCACTTAAAAAACAGATATAAAACTGCACCAAAGTGCTTTACAGGAACACCAATTAACAAGACAGAATGTGAAACACTGCTTCAAATAAAAGCTGAAGAATAAAAATAAGTTTTAGGAAGCGATTTAAAATGATCCAGGCTGTAATTTGAAGAGATAAATGGTTCCACAGAATTGGAGCAACAACAGAGAAGGCCCGATCTTCTTTCCTCTTTAGTCGAGTCCGAGGAACTGTCAGTAATAGTTGATTATTAGAGCGTAGACTTCTTGAAACAGACTGGAATTTTAAAAGGTCTCTAAGATAAGGAGGAGCTAATCCATTTAAGACATTATAAGTTAATAAAAGAATCTTAAAATCTATTCGGTAAAAGACAGGCAGCCAAAGTAAAAAGGCCAGTATAGGCCTTATATGGTCACGCTTCCTGGTTCCTGTTAGAAGCCGAGCCGCTGCATGATTTATCCATGCCTCTATATAATGAACTGCAATAATCCAACCAGGATGTAATGAAAGCTTGGATACGTCCTTCAAAGTCCTTAAAACAACAATAAGATTTAATTTTTGCTAAAATCTGCAGGTGATAAAAACTTGATCTAATAACAGAGCTAACTTGTTTATCTAGCTTTAAACAGCTGTCGAAAGTAAAACCAAGATTCCTAGCAGAGGTCTGACAAAACCGAGCTAAAGAACCAAGAATCAGATCTGGATTTGTAGTCTGAAGACTCTGACTAAATAATATAACTTGAGTTTTACTTTAAGATGATTCAATAACAGTTTCTTCCCCACTGCCATTAGACTGCTGAATGTTTTGTAAAATGGGTTAGTGTTTTGTATTTTATTATATTTTATCATTATATATATAAAAATGAAAATGTTAGAACTGTAAATTTAAAGTCATATGTTTATATTACTGTTTTCATATATATTTTTTGCTATTTTTCAAGGCTGCACTTTTACAAAAAGAAATTGTCTAGAGAGCTGTTCCAAACGAAATTTCCTTTTGTTATACACATGTTTAAACAAAATGACGAATAAATAAATATGTGTAAGTCTAAGTCTTAGTCTAAAACGTTGGGCAACAAAATACCAAGTTAAGGAAACCATCATTTTAGTCCAGACATGTTCTGAAAACTAATACCTGATCTCCATTTATTTATTTTTCATTCATTTCTGTTATTTTTCTCTCATTAAATGAAATTTGTGTCCACTTGTATCAGTTTAATGTCTCTCAAGTGGATTTGCCTCTTTTAAGTGGATAACCTGAAACCCTCAGCTTTTCTTTCATTTTTAGATGTTTTTATTTCTGTTGTAAGTCGCCTGTCTGGTTCAGTGTCTCCTACAGGTGGAAGGGGGCAGAGTTAGACAGGAAACACCTCCCTCTGTTGGGGCGGATAGAGTTGCAGCCGGGACACTTCACAAACTTTTTTTTCTCAGTGTCCCACTGAAACATTCCTACACAGTGTAGTGCGCGTCCTGCCATGCTTCTCAGGCTGTAGTTTTGGATCGCCTGGACTGTCTTTGTCTTCTTGCATTCCTGAGTCATGGCTCCGTTTGGAAAGAACTTCCTAAAGGCCCGGCTCAAGAACAGGTAACTCGATGAGACTGCGGAGAGTCACTTGAAACCTGCGTGTTTTCTGCTGGGAGAACGCGCTCGTTTGGAGATGGATTATTACGCAGGACGCAGCGCGCGTCGGATCTGTGCAGCTCCGAAAACAAAGCGGGTTAAGCTGCTGGGCTGTTGTTCAAGTGGAACAGAGGAAGCAATACAAAAGAGTGAAACAAATGTCTACATTATAATCCCGTTCAAGACAAATTATAAACCTTTGAGGATTAGAGGATAGTGGTGGGCTTTAATGGGAAGGATTTCAATCCTCTCCTTTTTAAAGGGTTTAAATGGATATGAGTTGTTTTTTTTTTTCTCACTTAGTAATGGAAATTACAGAAAAAATGTGAAAAGGCACCAGAAAAAGATTTAGGATGAGGTTAGAGTTTAGTATTGCTGATTCAGTTTTCTGTGCAGCAATGAAATGTGAACTGGTGGCTCTCATTCCTTAGAAATTGTCTTACCTTTGACCTTCTCCTTCTCTGTAATTATAACACTTGCTTTCAAAACTGCAGTGAGTCACAAAAAAAACAAAAAACTTCAGACGTTCAGAATAAGCAGTTTAGCTAAATAATCAAACCTGCTTCTGAGATCCAGTTGAAGTCCTTGAAATTACAGAAGTTAGGTTCACCTAAACGTACCATTCATCTGGTAAACAATTTTCTTTTCTTTTTTTGCTTAAATTCTGACATTTAGGGGTTATCATTAACCTAAACATTTTGATAAAGTTTAACAGATGATAGTTTTGATTTGCTGTGTTGAGTGGAGAACTGTATGGCTGAGAAAAGGTTCATGTGTTGGAGTAAGAATCAAAGTTTGCATCCAGCTGTAGTTTAGTTTACCACCAGTAGTAGTGTTAGTAATCTGAGTTTTATACACTGATAAAAGCAATCAGCTTTAATGTAATCATTAAAACTGTTTTACTTTTATTTGCCTATATCTGATTTAGGTTTTCATTAGATTTTTATTGATGATTATTATGGAATATTACAATCGATAGATTTAAAATGGTTACAACAAGAGATGTTCCACATTAAGCTATCAGCATGATGTCTGAGTGCTGCAAACGCACTGCAAATGCATAAATACCCAGAGAACACAAAAATTTGTGCAAACACAAAAATGAAACTAAGACACAAACGCACACAAAATTAATGCACGTAGCAAAAACAACTGAGATCTAAGAAAAGCTGCATAGCTCCACAGGGGCAGAATGTTATCAGACCATTAGCAAAAATGTAGATGGGGTGTCTGCCAACAGGATGCTAAGAGAGAATTTAAAACACATACGTTTTATTGTTTTTATCTTTAGAAATGCTTAAGCTTTCTAAGGTCCTTTGACCATAGAGTGATGATATTCTCCCCTAGCGGTCTGCAGTACCGTTGCTATCCAGAGCTAGTTTTGCAGCTTGTCTTAACTTGTAGTTTGTACTACCAGCACATTTACTTTGCACATGTTTAACTTATTAGCATATTTTATGTGTCTGCAGTGGGGTTTGAATTAGCAGTGCAGTTGCATAATTCTTTTTTTAACTTCTTTGATTTCAGGATTTCTCCTTTGCACATGTTTTTTGTTTGTGTTTGACTCTTTTTTGTGTTGGCTGAGTTCATTTTTTTTTATCGCTGTGCATGTATGTATTTGCAGTGCAATTTGCACTTTTTCTATGTCTGGGACTGCAGCATTCTTGCTTTGCAGTGTTTTACCTTTGAATGGGTTTTGTGTTTTTGTGTTTGCAGTGCGTTTGCACCTCTTGGTCACAGTTTATTTGTTTAGTTTCCATCAAAAAACATTGGAAACAATATAATCAATACATATGGTATGCTATGATCAATATTTGTAATGTTTCTGTTAAATTATAATTTCTTTTTTTATTAATTTTTAATTGATGCAAAAAAATTATAATTTCATGATGTGTAATACTTTTATTGACAATTTGGACAAAAAAACTGAAAAAAAAATATACATCAACATATTAAATATTTTATTGATGCCTTTGTTATCTAACTTGGTCTAACTTGTGAACATTAATCATAGGTCACTACAGGATAAAGTTACTTAAGGTGAAGTCACTTCTTTTCTAGTCTAAACCATAAAGTCATTATCAGAATTCACTGGCAATGACAATATACCATTGTTTTATCACCTTACTGTTTTTATGCCCCCCACTAAAAGAGGTTGTTGTATAATTCAAAATGGCCCCACAGCTCTCTGCAGATCCATTAGACCTCCTTCAGTCTATTATTTTTACGACTAAAACGGGTCACGCTTTTTGAACCAGTGTCTCCAAAACCAGGAACTCAACATTAAGCCTGAAGAAATCCTTCTGCAGTCGGTTATGATTAATTCCCTTACATGATCTGTCCTGGCAGAACCTAAATCAGAAGAGAAGGGTAATCTTTTCATTACCTCCACTTATCAGAAAATCCGTTAGCCACAAAAGTCAACATTAAAAGACTTATTTTGACGAGGCTCTTATGTTAAATTACTGTTGAACTCTTTGACAGTGGCTCCATCAACTGGCTGGATTTGTTTTTCCAGCTCATCAAGCTCCTTACAATCTTTAATAACTTCAGACAGTCAGACTAAAGTCGCCTCTGGTCGCTTTCTTTTGTCGGTGTGTCTGCAGCCCACATGAGTGTGAGTGTGTGTTTTGCTCAGTAATTACCATCATACCACCTATAATTATGTGAAGTGTGTAGATTTGTAGATATGTCAGATGTTTGATTACAGAGACTGGCTCAAACTCGCATTAAGACGCTGAGCTGAGCAGTGAAACATTGAAACCTATCACAGGATGAAATACAGCAGTCAGATGAGCCAGTCAGCTGACAGCTTTGGCAGAGCCTCGTCCAGGGCTCTAATAGTTGATGGAGACGTCTGGCGTTATGTAGAGGACTTCCCATTAAGTGTTTTCCAGCCGGTAGCATATGCAGGAGCAGAACTGTGTCTGATATCCTCGAAGTGTTTGCCAGCCAGTGAGAAACGTGGCCAAGAGAATCTGCCTGCTATTGCACGGTACAGTAGCAGCTCCGCAGCACTGCGTTCAAGGCCAATTAGCAGCTAAAATAGCTCCGTATTTACAAATTAGCTGACAGAAGTAAACAAAAGTACTTTTTTTTTGCACTGGAGGAAACTGGGAGCCAATTATCGTCTGCGCAAGCAAAACCTAATTTGGTGAGTCATAGATGTGAGGGAGACAGGCTGGGTGGGTGGGGGGTCACGGGGGCTTACAGAGGAAAGGAAGAGCAGAGAAGAAGGCTTGTGTTATGTCTCTCTGCTCACAGATCTCTTTCATAGTGGGACTCATCACAGAGATCGACACATCCAGATAGAGACGGGAGGTTATTTCCTCCACCATCCATCATCCTTTCCCAGATAAGAACCACAGGAAGCATCTTCTCTCCAGCAGTTGGTTGTTCTTTCCAGTTTGTCCCTGGTTTGTTTTCTTCCATTATTTACAAAACAATCAAAGCATAACTTATAAAGTATTGATGCTGCCCAAAAAAACTCATGTAAGCAGTTACACTTAAAGGAAAAGAATTCAAACTTCTGACAGTATTTAAAATCTGAAATTATTACATATGGTTCAATAAATGATAAGTGTTTTTAGGAGTAATTTAATTTGAATGTGCTTTACCGGAGGCATCCATGTTTGTCAAAGAACACTACTGCCACCTACTGGTTTGTGACATCACAGTGCGGTATCAGCTGTTGAGCAAGTCCCAGTGCTGTATCTGGTGTTTGTTACAACGCGCTATTATCCAAGTATCCAAGGTATTTCATATCCTTTTGGATGATGGTTTACAAACTAAATGTTTTCCGCACCACTGCTCCTCTGATGTAATGTTGTTGGCATTTGTGGGCTTAAACCAAAATGGCTCGTATTACCTGTTGACATTTGTAAGAACCATTCACCTCCACCACAAAAGAAATTCAATATCTTCATTGATCTTTCAGCTTTCTGTCCTGCACTATAATCAGGTGCTGGAACCATGACACAAATTACTATTGGCATTTCAGGAAGCCCTAAAGTTAATCCATACGTTTGTATGTCTTTGACAATGAAGAGGACTTCAATCAAACGGCTTAAATGTCTGTGAACTTGAAGATCCCATTGAAGGTAAATGCATGTAAATGTCCATCCTCTGTGCTCTGTTACAGTTTGAGCAATCACTACACTGTAAACCCCAACAGGTTCAATGAACTCAAAATATTTGATGAAACTGATTACCTCAAAATATTTAGCTATGTTAAAGAATATTTTAAGTAATTTCTACTTAAAATTAGACTTTTGTTAGTGCTCAAAATCTTTGAGGACAAGGATAAAATTAAAAAGAATAATGTGAGAAAAAGATGTTTTAAGTAATTACTACATTAGTTAGACAAGATCTTTACACTTAAAATCTTTGAGCAAATGAACAACATTAAAACAAATAATTTCAACAAACAAACATTTTGAGTAATTACTACTCTAAACTAGAAAAGTTATTCACACTCATTTATTTTGAGGAAGTTGATGAACTGAAACATAATAATTTCTCAAACTAACATTTTAAGTAATCACTACTTAAATTTTTGATAAGTTTAATGAACCTGATCATTTTGAAACTAATGTTAAAACTAACAAAATTGACACTGGACACGGATTTGATTTTTTTAAGTTATCACCCCTAATAATATATTCATGTTATCACCATGACTCATTCAGTTTCTCAGATCTAAACATTGTCAATTCAGCCTTTTATATTTTTAAGTTGACTTAACTGTATTTAAACACATTTTATTGCCTGTATATGTTAGCTATTTTTCTCAAAATCAAATATATTTTATTTGTATGATTCAAATAAAAAAATATTCAAAAGACAATTTTACTGCAGATTCCATTTATTTATGAATTCCATTAGAATTCAGAACAATGTCCCCAGCAATGGGGTTAATACAGAAAATAAAATAAATAACAACCACATTTTCAATCAAAATGCTG